GGTGTGCATTGATCACAGTAGGTTTTTTCAGTGTGGGATTTTTTCATGTAAGCTTTTTTTTCTAGAACCTTGTAATATATACATTTTGCAAAATTTCACAAGATTTAAAAGGGCATGCAGTGGAAAAATAATTCTCTTTAGCATACACGTTCTTTCTGCTTCCCAGTTTCCCAGCCTGGAGGTAGACATTGTTACCAAATTCTTGTGTATCTTTACAGAGATTGTCCTTTCAACACAAAAAGTAGTATATAATACATAATGTTTTCATGTTGAATTTTGCCATTTAGTAATAAATCTTGAAGATTATTCCATGTCAACACATATTCATTGTGATGTAGCCTTTATAATAAAGTTCCATAAAAGTAGGCATTTAGCTTGTTTCCAGTATTTTGTACTGTACAAAGGTACAGTGACTTACCATTTCCTGAAATTTTTAGGAAGAATGATTTATTCATTTTAAATTGTTAAAATGCCAAATGGCATTTCTTCAGAAGTTGTTTTAACAACTTATACTTTCAGCAGCAAAGTTTGAAATAACATTATTTCCTCACATTCTGGGTAACTTTAAAAAACTTCCGCTGATCTAATAAGAGAAAAATACCTTATTCCTGTTATGAGTGGTATAAAGTATCTTATGTTTGAATTTTTATTTTCTGTGAACTGAAGAGAGAAATCTCAAGGAGAAAGTAGGATGGACAATCCTTGGTACTCTCGCAGAATGAACAGGTGCTTCATTGTGATGGAAAATAATTCATCCGTGAAACTTTTCTGACTAATGCGGTTTTCCATTTTCTTAACTTTTTCATAATAAGCCTCCGTGATCGTCCTGTGCCCTTTGAGAAACTGTATCAAGAGTTCCTATTGGGAATTCCAAAAAGCAGTCACCATAATCTTTTGAGTTGACCTCTACCTTGAATTGAACTGGCCTAGCAGATTAGCTGATCCCCTTGGAAGCCAGTGTTTGATTGCACTTTGTTCTCTGGATCATGCTGGTAAATTCAAGACTTGTCCCCATTTACAGCGTGCTTCTTAACGTTTTCTTCATTACTTGTGAATCTATGAGAGAGCTTCAAAAAGTTCATGGAAAAATTCCATTGTCTGCTTTATAAAGTTGAACTTCGATGAACTTTTTGAAGCCCCCTCATTAGAAGTTTGAGTATATTTCTACAGATGTATCTACCTATACTGCAAATGGGGTCCTGGTATGGCCCTGTAGGGTAAGCACTGGACCTCGAGGTTGGCTTGAACTGCAAGGTCAGTGGTTCATACTCACTAGCCGCTACTCTGAAACCCTATACAGGGTCACTATGAGTAGGAACTAACTTGACAACACTTAACAACAACAAGAAGTTACTCATTTTATAGAGGTAAAAACGTAACTCCCATCAGTGCTAAGTAATTGGTTAGGACTCTGTTTTGGCGTGAACTGACTTTTCATTGATGTGTATTTGACATTTCAAACAATTTTTTCCCCAGGCATTTAAAAAATATTGTTTTACTTATATTTTCACCTGTCTTTAGTTACATGGATGGTTTCTACCATTCCTGTGTTCTTGATGTTTAAATCTGGATGTAAACATTCTTAGCATCCCATACTCATAAGATATTACTCTGTGGTATTTGGTAAGGTGAAGTCTGAACATACTCAATAGTTTCCTTGTGTGCTGTATGCTTCATGTGGTTGTTTGATACAATAATTTTTTTACTTTTTTCTTTTTCCCATTGGAGGGAACCATCTTTTAATATTGAGATTTTAATGTACTGTTTAGATGATCACATCATTGTTCTTTCTCTTCACTTTCAGCGGCTGTATCTAACAGCTTGTTTTCCGTCATTTCACATGCATCTCTTATGTTTATTTGAATTTGGGATTTGCCCCCACACCCTAATGTGCTGCTTTGTAAAATTGAACTCCAGAGGACTTCATTTCTTGAGCGCTTGACAATGATAATTTTCTTTTCCGTGTATAAATAGCATTACCACAGGGAGGTTTACAATGTACAGTTGTTGACATAAGACCACATGATATATCAGTTGGGCCATGCAGCATCTTAATTTCTCTACCCAAGCTTGTGCAGATTATGTAATACATTGGTGTGTCTTGTGTCTAGGGATGTGGTTTTATCATTCTTACCTGGATGACAGGAATGCTGTGAGGAAACTTTAGGGTTTGTGTCCTTATTCTGTCTTCACAAACATACATATGAGGGGACTTCAAAAGATGGTGAGAAAATGGAATGAGAAGATAACAGGATTTCCTCATTAACCTTTGGAAGCTTCCTCATACTAATCTTAGGACTGTAGCCTTATAGCAATACTGTTAGGTGAAAACGACTTGAATTCAACCACTGTGGAAAACAGTATGGCGCTTCCTTAGAAAGTGGGAACTAGAAATACCATATGACCCAGCAATCCCTCTACTCAGAATATATCCACAAGAAGTAAGAGCCAGGACACGAGTAAGTACATGCACACCGATGTTCATTGTAGCACTATTCACAATAGTAAAAAGGTGGAGACAAACCAAATGCCTGTCAGTAGACAAATAGATAAATAAACATTGATATGTAAACTATAGAGTACTGCACAGCATTGAAAAATAATGGTGAATCTTCAAAACAGCTCATAGCAAGCCATCAAGCTCTATGCTCTCCCATGTAAACTATCTCTCAGTACACAATTAAAAAAAAAAGATAAGAGAAAATAAAAATAAAATAAAATACCTCATAACATGAGTGGACCTGGAGGACAGTATGCTGAGTGAAGAGGACAAATATTGTATGAGACTACTAGAGTAAAAATTTAAGAAACAGTATCTGATGGTTACTAGGGGTGGAAGGAAATGGGGAATAATTGACTAGTTTGAGGGTGGACACATGGGGATGGGAAGGCATTATATAAGAAGAGGAAGGCTGGCAGAAGAACCAAGAAGAGAATTGTGCATAGTGATCTGTGCACAACCTTGGAACAGCAGTGTTCTGTGGGTAGATACAATGTTCGGCGGATAGGATAGAGACACAGACTGAATGGGTTTGGGAGGAAGATTGGGATGTATATGTATTTATATGTCCCACAAATATATAAGAGTTTGAAAGAGGATATTGTTGCATAGATATATACCTTTCCTATAAAAACAACTATGAAAGTGGTGGAGCATACAGTGGGCAAAATGAGGAAAACTTCTTAAATATTATCAAAGATCTTATAAATCATCTTAAGGCAATGAGTTTCCAGGCCTGGGGACTCAGGACCATAGTTTTAGGGGACACCATGGTCAGTTGGCACCATTCAGTCCACAAAAACAATGTTCTACATCCTACTTTGGAATGTAATGTCTGGGATCTTAGAAACTCATGAATGACCGTCTCAGGTGTAGCTACTGGCCTCTCTATGTGCAGAAGAAAGAAGAGTGATGAGAAATGAAGCAATTAGTCCAGTGGAGTAATGGAACACGTGAACATTAGTCTCCATGACTCTGAGACTAGAAGAACTAGAATGTGCCACTACCAACTGCTCTGAAAGGGAGGGATCACATTAGAAGGTTCTGGATAGAGTGGGAGAAAATGTGAAGCAAACCTTAAGAAAAAAAAAACCAGTCTTAATATTCAGAAAGACATTGGAGGAATCTGATACACTGACCCTCAACCATAGTCTGGAAGGGAACTCAGTTTAATGTCCCAATTTTCAGCCAAGGAGTAGATAGGTGGGGAGGGAGGAACACAACACTAGTAAGGTATGCTTACCATAGAAGGTCAATCATTGGAAATCAAAAGGACAACACTTACCTAGGGACAAAAATGAGAAAGGCAAATAGGATCCACAGGGAGGAAGCAAGATAACTGTTGCTGCACGGAAAGGATTGTAATCATTGAGATGAAACAATGTGTATGAGTATTGAGTACAAACTGATGATCTCATCTGTAAAACTTCATTCAGTTCACAATAAAAAGCTAAAAAAAAAAAGCAAATTTAATTTCGCTGTTGCAAAAGGATGAGCCAAAACACTTTATATTTTATAAATAAATGTCCTAAGTGTGTGGGTCTGTGTATGTGTCTATATATATAAAATTTGATATGTAGACCCTTTTCAGCCATTTGCTGTAGGATGTGGTTTCTCAGATTCAGTTTGTACAAATGGAATATACAAAAGTGAAGCAAAAAAACAAACACAGAACTAGTTTTTAACTATTTGGCTTTACAATATTTAGTCAATAAAGTGTCTTCTCAAAGACTTTTAGGTGGGTATTGGTGTGGTGCTGCAGGATAATGCAATGGACTGCCAGGTCAGTTTGAACCACAAGGTTGATGGTTCAAAGCTGCCAGCCACTCCTCAGAAATTCCAGACAGGATCTCTATGAGTCAGAACAACAATCGACCTTTCAGGACCTGGAAATTTTTGTTGTTATTAAAATAATAGTAGAATACACTGGGGCTATCTGAAGGACTTTTAATTACTGCAGATGAAAATAAAGATGTCTACTTTTATTTTTTTTGTCTTTCTTTGTAGGATATCTGTGGATGAGTTAGTGTAACTTCCAAATTCTTCTTAATGTATCTTATTTACCAGACTTAGAGCAAGAGATGAGTACTAGAAGACAAAGTTACTTTTGAATCATTCTTCTAATATTAATGTATACATCAGTAGTTAGAGGAGTCCCTGGGTGGTGCAGATGGTTAAGCCTTCAACTGACAGCCAAAAGGCTGTCTTATTTGAACATACCCAGAGATGTCTTGGAAGATAGACCTGCCAATTGTTTTTGAAAGGTCATGGCCTTTCAAACAGTTCTGCTCTGTACATATGATATTTCCATAAATCAGAATGGACTCAATGACAAGTAATAATCACAACAGTGATTAGAGAAGTTTTGAAGGCATATTAAAGGAGAAAGGTAGCTGATTTTCAGTTCTGTTGCTTGGATGAATTGAGTAAAATAATGTCATTTGTTTTTACATATATACACACACACATGCAAAAAACTATACTTTTTTGTTGTTGTTAGAGATGAAGATGACATCAATGATGTGACTTCCATGGCAGGGGTCAACCTCAATGAAGAAAATGATTGCATCTTAGCCACAAACTCTGAATTGGTTGGCACAGTCATCCGATCATGTAAAGAAGAGCCATTTCTTTTCATTGGAGCGCTACAAAAGAGAATTTTAGACATTGGTAAGTGCAAAATTTTGATTCCTGACCTAGTAGGATTGTCAGTTTGAGGGAAAATGTTACCAAAAGAAACTGCCTGTCTTAGTTAACTTGAAAGTCTGAGTCTTAATTAAACTCAAGAGATCAAGATTCCATAGATGTTCTAGAAAGAAGTACTTCATTTTAAAAAGTACTCATACAACATAAATTATACAACATATAGTGTTGGGTTTCAACAACAGATGTTCAATTATTAATAGGGGATATATGTGTGTGTGTTTATAGACTATATACTTATGATAGGTTTTATCTGTTCTATTCCTTTCTTGGTTGGCCTTTAGTCTTGTATGTGTACAAATGCATAGTTATGTTACATGCATTTATTAATGAAATACAGAAACAGTATGAACTATATTTTGAAGGCTTGGCATTTGAGAAGGTGGTTTCTTTTACATCATCGTCTTTCTATCTGGTTTGCTACAGGCTGAATTTTGAATTAAAGCTTAATATATATTATGTAATAATGTCAGAGAATGGAGTTCTGGTGTGGCACTATAGGATACGCATCCGACCACAAGATTGGTTTGAACCACAAGGTTGGTGGTTCAGATTCACCACTCACTCTTCTAAAACCCTATATAGGGTCACTCTGAGTCGGAACTGACTTGACGACACTTAACAACAACAACAGCAGTGTCAAAGTGTGAAAATACATTGATATGAATTGATTAAAACGTATTTTTGCTTTTTAATCCTTGAAAGAGCATGTTTCAGATAAATCAGAGTGTTCAATCAAGTAATATTTTTAAAATTTCTATGAGTGCATATGTTAAAAAACAAACACAGTAGCACTTCTGCAATCCTATTTAAGACTACACAATTGCCTGCATGTCTAGTTTTAGGTCTCTGTACCCCAGAAGTACTATTTACATGCTGTTAAAGCACACTCACCACCAGTGGATATTGGAGAGAGCCGTGGTTCCATAGGATAAGCACTGGATGCGAACCACAAGTTTGGTGGTTTGATCCCACCAACTGCTCCGCAGGACACACGTTAGGCTTTCTGCTACCAGAAAGATTTAAAAAGTCTCTGAAACTTTATTCAGGGCCACTATGAGTCGGAACCAACTTGACGGCTCTTAATAATAACAATAAGGTTGATTTATAAATGAACTCCTACCTTTGTTTATGTGGTTCAAATTGTTTTCCTTAAACTTTCTTCCTCCTTAACAGAAAGAAGAAAAGATGTTTATGTTATTTATGGTGAAAGAGTAATAGGTGAAATGATGAGAAGTTGAATCTATTTCAATTTATAAATTGATTACCAGATCAGTTCATCAGAACATTAGTTAGAACAAAATAACCATGATTGTAATGGATAAAAAGGAGTCCTGATGTGGCACTGTGGGTTAATATGCTGGACTGCAAAAAAAGTTGGTTTGAACTGCAAGGTTGGTGGTTCAAGCTCATCTGCCGCTCCTTGAAAACCCTATACACTGTCACTGTGGGTCAGAACTGATTCAACAGCACTTAACAACAACAAATGAAGTATTGATAGATCCTGTAGACCATGCATCAACGGACTTAAAATCTGAATTCAATGAAATGGATGTCATAAATTGTTAACAGTGTCAAACAAGACAAAATGTAATTTTCTATTTTTTTAATTACTAAAATTAACAGAATATAATGATAATTTCTGCAGTTACCATTTTCTTCCCTGAACACTAGACTTGATTTGTGTTCTTATTAACTTTGTCCTATAAATGACCTTGCAAAGAGAATGATTCTAGAGGCTAAGTAAAACAATGTCTATATTTTCTGAGGCTTCAGGCTAGGTCTTATTAATGTAATGTCTAAGATCTTTGAAGTTGTGACTGTACCAGGAAAATCATAATCTCCAAACCTTTATTCATAATGGGTATGACTTCCAGGGGGAACAGAATACCTGCTGTGCTAATTATTTCAATTATGAGCCACTACTAAAACACGTAATGGATTTTCTCTGCCTCCACAGGTAAAAAGCATGACATTACGGAATTTAACTCTGATGCTGTGAACTTAATCTCCTACGCAACACAGGAACGATTACGAGGCCTTCTAGAAAAACTGACTACAATTGCTCATCATCGAATGGCAACATTCAAGGTAAAGGAAAGCATTAAGGAATTACAAACTCGTCTCTCTCATCTTTGTAGTGTGAAAGTTCTTGTTTTTGCATGGAAATATTTTTAATCCATTATTTAAGGAAATGATTGAGACCTATTTCATACTGGTAGAAAATCAGAATCTCATATCTCATTTGTCATATTTAAATAAGCTAAATGGACATATGAAATTATGAAATTGGGTTTTAAGCTGGTCTCCAAAGCTGCTGTGTCAGTGTTGATTGAAATATTCATTTGTTTGGCCTCAGGCTTCTCTTCCTTAAGCTTTCGACTGGGAAGTAGGATTTCTTAGAATGGAATACAGGCTACTTATGTTCTCCTAGGTGGTCTACCAGTATTTCTGTTCTTATTAAGAGGTTTAAATTATTGCATTGAGTGTTATTACTGTTGCCATTTGTTAAAATTATTGGCTGCTTTTATTTTATAAATAAATAAAACAAAAAACACCTAAATGAAAGGATAGTATCAAGATGAAGACACTTGATGTATTTGAATTATAGTTTTGGTAGAAGACAAATGATTAGTTCATGTGACATGGGAATAAAAAAAAGATTACTGTTTCCTCCTGTGCAAAGAAATGTTGACAGCTAGATTTTGAACAAGAGGGTATGTGGGTAACCTTATGAGATGTTAACTTTATAAGAATGCTCAATGTCATGGTGTCCTAGCCATAGGTTAAAAGGAATCCAAGGAAATATAAACAGCCATACTACTCGTAATTTCCCTGGAGGAATGATTCTGTTTTCTTTTTTCCTATTTCATCTAGAACTTTGGAAGAACTATATTTAGCTTCTGAACTTTACTTGCATAAATCCTTGTGAGAATTTGCTGGAGAAAAGGCTGTGGACAAAATAAAATTCATGGCCATATTTCTTTTGTGTTTGTAGGAATTTGCCCATTTCATTTATCTAGATTGCCTATTTCATTGGTCTACAATTATTCATAGCATTCTTTTTATTTCTGTAAAGTCCATAGTACTGGTATCATTTTCATTTCTGGTTTTAGTTAATTTGTGTCTTGTTTTATTTGCCTTTGTCAGCCAAGCTAAAGTTTGTCAGTGTTTGTTGATCTTTTTCCAAGAACTACCTTTTGGTCTTAATTGACTTTTCCCTGTTTTTCTGTGTTCTGTTTTTTTAATCTCTACTCAAATCTTTGTTATAGTTTCATTCCTTCTGCTATATTTTGCTCTTCTTTTTCTAGTTCTTTAAGGGGTAACGCTTAGATTTTTTTTTTTCAGATTTTTCTTCATTTTTAAATGTAGATATTTATGACTTCAAATTTCACCCTGAGCACTTTTACTGTATTTCTAAAATTTGAGATGTTGTGTTATGGTTTTTATTCATCTTTAGGTATTTTAAATTTTCCTTTGGGATATTCTCTTTGACTCAGGGGCTTTTCAAAAGTGTGTTCTTTAATTTCTATATTTTTTAAATTATATAGTTTGTGTACTGTCATTGATTGTACCTTCATTCCTGTTATGGTTAGAGAAGATACTTTGTATGATACAGATCTTTTGAAATTTGTAGACTCTTGTTTTGTGTTCCATGTGTACAGAGAGAATGTTCCATGTGCTGTTTTTGCTTTTCATGTTCTATATATGTGTTATGCATAATTGATTTATAGTGTTGCTCTTTACTGTCTAGCTTTTGTAGTCATATTTATATTGGAATATTGAAATCTCATAGAACTGTCCATTTCATCTTTGAATTCTTTCAATTTTTGCTTTATGTGTTTTGGAACTGTATTGTTTGCTATATGTTGTCATTGTTATGTGCCATATAATCGATTCATACTCATAGTGACCTTGTAGGGCAGAGTAGCACTGCTCTGTGAGGTTTACTGGGCTTGCATCTTTAATAGGCATCTTTTCTCCCACTGGGCTACTAGTGAATTTGAACCACCGACATTTTGTTAACAGCTGAGTGCTTAATCATTGCATCTTCTGGGATCCTTTGTTGGTACATGTTGTTGTTGTTAAGTGCTGTCAAATTGGTACCAACTCATAGCAACCCTGTATAGTGTTTCCGAGTCTGTAAATCGTTACAGGAGCACAAAGTCTCATTTTCCTCCCACAGAGCAGCTGGTAGACTCCTTTGTTTAGTACATGGTGATGATGGTGATGCTGCTATACATAGATGTCTATCATTCTACATCCTCTTGATAAATTTACCCCTTTGTCAAATAAAATGTCTTTATTGGCCTCGTAGTAGTTTTTGACTAAATGTGTATCCTGCTGATGTTAGGATAAGCACACCCCAGCTTTCTTTTGATTACTTCACAGAATGCAGCATAACCTGTAAAAGTCAAAACCTATGCAAAGCAGAAGTCTGTCAAAGAAGGAAAACTCAAATGTTTCCTTCCAAAACGAGTGCTAGGAAAATGGTAAAATGGTACCCTCTCAGAGGTAAAAGGGCGTCTTGGTGTGGCACTGTAGGTTAATGTGCCAGACTGGAAAGCCGTTTGAACTGCAAAGTTAGCGGTTCAAGCTCACCAGTCGCTCCTCGGAAACCCTATACAGGGTTGCTATGGGTCGGAACCAGCTCAATGGCACTTAACAACAACAACAAAATTAAAAAACACTTGAGAGGTTCAAAAAATGAGGCAGTCCTATCAAGTTCTGGCTCATAGGCTTCTCCGTATCTTCTTTCTTGTCTTGTCTTTTTCAGTTATCACTACGAACAAGCGCAGTACCCCTTAAATGATAACCTCCCATTTGCTTCTTTCCCCAGGCCTTGGTAACTAACCACAAATAAACTTTTGTCTTTGTGCATCTGCCTGCTCTGTGTTATGTTAGTGGTATTACACAATATTTGTGCTTTTGTTTCTGATTTATTTCATTTAACATGTTTTAAAAGTTCATTCATGTCATATCATTTATTATAACCTCATTTCTGTTTATACCAGAATAATACTTCATTGTATGGATACACCACGTTTTGTTTATCCATTGTTGATGAATACTTACAGTGTTTTCATATTTTGGTTATTGTGAATAACATTTCAGTGAAGACTGATGTGCAACTATCTCTTTTTTTATTGTGAATTATCAGTTAGTTTACATGAGTGAACATTATCTTTTACATTCATCCTATCATTTTTTGTTTCATTGCAATGATCACAATCCCCTGCATGCATCATAAAACACCCAAAGGGAACACCCCACACTCCTGCCCCCCTGCCACCAGCAGACAACCCCTCTCCCTCCCTGAGTCCAGAGTCCCCAGCTGCTCCTTCTGTCCATGTCCTTACCCCTGCCTTCATCCCTAGTGTCACTGCATTTCCGGACACAGTATTGCACTTTGCTCTTCTCCCTTGATAGTTCCAGGGATCTCCACTCCTGGACTGCAAAATCAGCCCCTCCCCTCCTTTTATTACCAAACATTTACATTTACCTTTCCAACACTCACTGTCAAACCTGATAGCAATCATTCCCTATTGAACTATAGGAGTCCTTTCCACCTCACCTTTTATTAACCCCATCCAGACAGTTTGGAAACAATTCAGTGGAGGGTCTACCTTTCCCTGTATCCTCTGGAGCTAGGTTCCCTATTGAAAGCTTGTAAGCCAGTCACTTCTTGCTTTTGAAACACCACGCCCCCCCCTTTTTGGGTAGCCATTGTCTCAGTTCCCCCTCCTCGTCGACCCTGTGTACCAAGGGGGTGGGAATGATCCTCACTGTAGAGATTTGTCTGCTCCTTTGTCACACTGCATCCACAAGCATAGGTCAAGCTCATCCACTTATAGTGGGTTATTCCTTTTTTTCCTTCCCTCTTCTTTCTTCCTCTAGTCGTGTTCTAATCATTCTGCCATTGATGCCAAGTCAAATGGGTACTATCTACAAGTGTGGGTGTTCTTGTGCATCCCCCCTCTCTTTATATCAACTGGATGCTTCACACTCCATTCTAGTCATCTGGGGCCATGTCCTGCCCCTGGGCCCAGGAGTCCCCAGGTCTCGTCATACTGCTGGTTAACCAGGTCTCAATCCAGGTTAACAGGAGTCTACTGAATGTGGTCAGACTTAGTTCACAACTTCATTGTTATTTTCCCCCCTCTTCCCCATATTAGTGACCAACGTGGTCAGCAGCAGGACCATATGCCTGCTAGTGTATTCCATTTGTGTTTCAGTCTTGGAAGGTGGTTTGCCTCTAGGGGACCTGACCACTTGCCTTGATGGCTCCAAGGGGAACAACTTGCTTGTTCTTCTGGTAGTCATTTAGACTGCTGTTGTTTTGTTTTTTTTCCTGCTGGTCTTTCTTTCAAGAAGTATCTTCTGTTCTTTTAGCCACTCCAGGCAGCTCTGTTTGTCCTTTCAAGTGGAAATGTCCCACCTCAGAAGATTCTGGATGGGGATCAGGATTCCACCTATGGTCTTGTGCAATGCAAAGGCTATGCAGGGAGCCTTCTTCACTGGGCAAGTTCTAGCCCCATTTTAGGTATTCCAATCAGTTAAAGACTGAAGATGGACTGACAAGCTTTCTCTGGTGATGTTTCTGGCTATTCCTCTCTCCCCCTTCAAGTGTCTATTTTACTATAGTAGGCAAGGAAAACAAGATTCAAAAGACAGCCAAACATCTTAACATCATTTCCTCACTTTTACCCACTTAAGCCATGCCTCAATCTTTGTATCCACGAGCCCTGTTGTTCCACGTTTGTGCTCAGCTCATTATTTACCTCTGTTCCATTTAGCCCATGTAAACCTGTCTAGCTATTCTCCCATTTACCTTATTTTTCCTTTTCCTTTCTAGTGTATTGCCCCCCTGTCCCCCACAGCACCAAACTATCCTGTGTCTATTCCATTCAGTGTGTTCCACTATCCTATGCCTATTCACTAGCCTGTGTTCCACCTTCCCCTCCCTCCACCTCACCCCACCCCCTACACCCCGGTCACCACTACCAACAACAAAAAAGATAATAATAATAACAAAGACAAAAGATAATTTTTTTCCCTCTCTTTTCAGTTTGGGTGCTTTTTCTTAATCT